CTGGTAATCCCAGTGATCTGGGAGGCTGAGGCAGGAGGATCACAAATTCAAGGCTAGCCTGGGCAATTTAGCAAGACCTCTCTCAAAAAATAAAAAAGAAAAGGACAGTGGTGGGGTAGAGCAGGGTGGCTCAGTGGTAAAGTGCACCTGGGTCCAATCCCCAGTACCAAAAAAAAAAAAAAAAAAGAAGAAGAAGAAAAAAAAACTTTCTCCAGTGATCGAAGTGTTCTATATCTATGCTGTACAGTACAGTAGGTACCACTAGCTACTAGCTATATATGATTATTGAGCTAGTGAAAATCAGGAATTGAACTTTTTTTTTTTTCTTTTGGTACGGGGATTGAACTCAGGGGTACTTGGACAGGGTCTCAATGTTGCTTAGCGTCTCACCACTGCTGAGGCTGGCTTTGAACTCAGGATTCTCCTGTCTAAACCTCCCAAGTCTCTGGGATTATAGGCATGTACCACAGTGTCCAGCTAGGAATTGGATTTTTAATTGTATTTAATTTTGAGTAGCCACATGATGCTAGTAGCTATCAAATCATATTAAATAGTACAATTATATGCCAACAAGGAAGGTTGGACTCTGGTTCTTCTTAGGACCCTCAGTAATTGAGCTCCTGGGTATGGAGAATAGCTCACCTGTACATTGAGAAGTGCAGGAGATGTAACAAGGTTTGTTATTGGTGGATATGCAAATAAGGAATAAAATGGCCCTTAAAACCTGTGTTCCCATTCCAAAGAAGGTAAAAAAATTGGATGTCTTAGGGATTTGAATTAGAAATAATCCTGAAAAACAAGGAGGCTCACCCCTAGAATGCTATCTCCCCTGCTGAGTTTCATACTTAGGTCTTCCCATCCTTTCCTTCATCTTAGAGGACTGGGATCCAAATGGGGGAATCAAGTAGCACAGAAAAAGATTCCTAGAGATCACATCCCCCTATTTTTTTCCTGCCATTTTCTTCCTCTCTCCCTCCCCTACATCGAAGGATAAATTTCTCAGCAGATCCTTCCTGTTTAACCTATTTTTTTTTCTCAGTTCATATAATTTATTGCAGTTAGCACACAGTTTAAAAATTCACCAACACACCAATAGTACAAAACTAAACAGCATTATAAGTTATTCCCCCCTCAGGAAAATAAAACATACTATGATTGTCAAAGCTAGATGTCAGTCTAAGTTTTAGAACAAAGGAAGAACATGAAACTAAGAAAAGGAAAAAGCAATCACTCACGATGACCACAAAAAGAAAATCCAAAAGAAAGTCCGTTTTCTCACAGACATTGATTGTCTTCTCTAAATTAATAAAAATTATTTTAACATAAACTGTATTTAAAAAAACTCTAGAAACTCTTCAAGTAACTAAAGATAATGCCCCAAGGCCATTTTCACAGCTTTTTTTGTTTGTTTGTTTGTTTGCTTTAAATGCCATTACAGCCAAATTAACACACATTTGACCAAATACTTCCAAAACAGTCCAGCAACACACAATGGAGTTTTCCATTCAGTATCTTAAGCACAAAAATAGGCTATGTTTACAGTAGTTAAGGCGATAAAATTTTAAACAAAAGCAATAAAAAAAAAAAAAAAAAAAAAAGGAAAAACAGCAAACGTTTTCCATGCTACTCCCATAGACCTTATTTGTAAGTGCAAGACAGGAAAACAAACACTGTGCAAAATGCTTTTGCCCTGTGTGCTGGTCATTAAAACCACAGGTTGGGCTGCAGCCTCTGCTGCCGATACACAGTCTACTAACCCCCTTCCCCATGTCAATCAAGGCAGTCCAGTCCTTTCAGCCTGGGGCTTTTTCAGTCCATAGAATCTTTTCATGAGTTTGGGGGGGGGGGGTGAGAAGGGAGGGAGGGTAAGGAAGAAGGGGAGAAAAAGAGGAGCAAAAAAACAGAGAAAATGACCTATTGTCAATTTGTGCAGTAGTTATTCTAAAAATGCTCAACTGGGTAAATGTGTACACCTAAACTTTGAGCTGCTATGGGTTTTGTGCAATTAGAAGTTTGTTATAAATGCACACTGTACATGCAAATCTTTAAGCCGTTTGTAAACATTTATATGTTCCTTGTTATGTAGCAAAGTTATCAATTTGCAGCTTAAGTTTTTATTCAGCTTAACAGTTCAACTTAAAGACAGTGGGAAAGTCAATTTAAATTATATAAAATAAAAAAAAAAACAGTGCATTTATGTTCTTCATAACACCAGTTTTTTTTCCAAATGGTGCTATTTTTCTAAGGAAATTAAATAATTTTAAACTCACTCGTTAAAGTTATACAATGCAAACAAAGACAAAAAATATATTGAACTCATGCATTTCTGTAGCGTTAATATTTACTTTTCAAGACTCAACTAAGAGCATCAACACAACCTGTCAAGTTCTTTGACATCCCCCCCGCCAGCCCATGTAATCAATTACAGTAAAGAAGAACAGTAATTCACATTTTTAAACACACAGTTCAACACTGCTGAAGCTGCAATATCCTTTTTCATCCAAAGAAACCTTCACAAAGACAGTATCCCAGTGATCCCAGTGTACTTGCAGAATTTCTCATTGGGAACCGTCAGAAAACCAGAAGTTGCCACAGAAAGTTTTAAGTCAACTGCTTGTTTAAAAATAGATAATCCAGCATTTCAGAAATTTTCCATTTGGGTCTAAAAGCATTCAGGTTTCCAACAGCCAGAAAAGATTCATGCAATTTGAGACATAGAGGCTAATAAAACTGGAGGGAATTTCTCTTTACTTTAAAAAACAAAAACAAAACAAAACAAAACAAATGTGGGGCACAAAGAGAGCTCAAAAGACAACACTGTGTTGACAAAATTAAGCCGTATGAAAGCACTTTTGTGATAGGACGATTTGTTTAGAAGTTTCTTATTGGCTTACTTTGCCTACCCCTCAAAGGAAAGACACCTCTCTATTCTCAGACTTGCTCTAAAAAGTTTCTTTTATCAGAATGCTAAATTAGTGAGATTCTCATGCTATTATTCTAAAGTGCAAAAACAAGTTAAGATCCCAACTTTTTAGTTCCGGGAAACAAGACTGCTTTTAGACCATACCACAACTATATAGAGATCTATGTATATATATGTATTTATAATATATATATGTATATATATATATATATATATATATATATATATATATATAATATGTATATATAATATATATATATATAAAATTATTTCCAAAGTTCTTGAGAGCTATCTTCTAAGGTCCAGTCTCTGACAGTAGGCAAGCTCAGTGCTTCGCTTTTGACCAACAAGGAGTTCACCAACTCACAGTGGAACTTGCGAATGTGTCTGTACAGGTCTCCAGACTGCGTGAACCTGCGCTCATACCACTTGCAGGCATGCGGCTTCTCGCAGGTGTGCACCACAGCATGGCGGCTCAGGTTGTGCGAGTACTGGAAGCTCTTGCCGCACTGGGTGCATGTGTAGGGCTTCTCCCCCGAGTGAGTCCTCTCGTGGCGCTTAAGGGTGTACATGCACGAGAAAGTCTTCCCAGAGAGCACGTGGGCACATTGACATTGGCAGCGGGCTTGCTGCGGATGCCATCCTGCTCAGGAAAGTGAGTGCTCAGGTAGATCTGCAGAATGTGGGGGCTGGGGAAGACTTTGTTGCACAGGGGGCACATGAAGATCTGGCCCGCAGGGCTCAGGATGTTGGAGACATAAGGGAGCAGACTGCTCTCCATGCCCCCTTCCACCTGGACACGCTCACTCTCTGTGGTCATCATTTCATCATCGCTGGCTTTGTCCTCCCGATCCAGTTCCCTCAAGACCGAGTCCTCCTTCAGAGGAGCCAGATGGGCCGGCCCATACTGTACCCTGTTATTAGTGCTCACACTTTCTTTCACAGTGCTATGTTCCATGTCATAGTCATTAGTGCCAACATCACTCTCATCACAGGAAACCTCTTTCTCCACCTTCACCTGCACCAGGTTGCTTCTCAGCACGTCCTCTGGGACAAAGACTCTGTTGAGCTGCAGGGGCTGGCTACTGTTTTTCCAGCTGCTGTGGCGTGTGGCTCTGCCTCTCAGCCAGCCTGAGGGATGCCTGCTGAGTCTGAGGGCAATCGCATCCACATGTTCCCAGGCTCAGCCGCCAAGTCCCTTTTGCTGGGCAGGATGTTCAATTTTTCATCTTCTCCTTCATCTTCATCACTGGGCAAGTCGCCTGCCATGTGGCTGCTGCCATCAGAGAGGCTCTCAACTTTGTCTGAACAACTTGAAGCATCTTCTTCCTTTTTGGTGCTGTCTGCCTCAGTGGTAGCTTTCTCTTTCAGCTTCTTTTTACAGACTTTGACAATGTCATACATGTGGAGATAACTGGCAGCTGCTAGCACGTCTTCAATGGGCAAGTCTTTGAACTGGAGTTTCCCTTCATACATGAATTCAAGCAGGAGAGAGAAAGCCGGGGCTGTAACAATGTCGCTGTTCAGATGAACAACGTCTCTTTTGTCCAGCTGGTCCTTGTGAAAGAGGTGGAAATACATGCTGCATGAAGCCAGTACAGCTCGGTGGGCTCGGAACTGGGCATCTCCCACCAGAACAGTGCAGTCACAAAGAAAACCCTGGTGCCTCTGCTCGCTCAGACACTGCAGCAAATGTCTACTATGGTCTGGAAACTCCATACTGTCTTCATAACACGGAGCGGCCCTAAGTCACCGCGTCCCCGCTGCCGCCGCGTCCTCCGCCTCCTCCTCCTCCTCCTCCTCCCGGCCGCCCGCCGCCGCCGCCGGACTTCGTGGGCTTCTTCCTTCTCTTGCCCCCCTTCCTCCCGGCCCCCCCACCCCCCAATCCCGGCTCCGTTGCCCGCTCCCCCCGCCCCTCCCTCCCGCCCACCCCGCTGGCAGCCGGAGAAGCGCGACGGAGCGAAGAAGGCCCCACTCTCAACGGCTCCCCATGGCAGCGGCCTAGCGGCGGCCGCAGCCTACCAGACACCTGTTTAACCTATTAAGCATGGTTTAAAACAAACAAAAGTTTAAGTACCGTATTTTTCACTCTCCCTGTTTACAATGGCAAACTCAAACTCCATCAGCTTTGCCTTCAACAGAACCAAGCGGAAGGAAGGGGCGGAGCTCGAGCTACGCCACGTAGGAGCTGAGAAGTAGCTAGGATAGCCTTATGGGAATAGCCGTACACTTCCCCATTTTTGCTTGTATATAGCGTTCTAATCATAGTTTTAGAAGCTTTTTTTAATAGATAATGATGTTGTCTGTTTCAGAACTATTGGTAGAGCGCTATTGCGTGGCGGAAGACACCACAATGAGTGATTGAACCTCGTTCTTCCTACTACTGGACGTCGCCATCTTGAGTAGAACTGAACCATGGGGGCCGCCATTTTGCTGGACCGGGCGGGTATTTCCGGTTCCGGCGGGGGAAAGCGCTCTCTTTTCCTTTGCAGGGCTGCGGCTCGGTGGCCGCGGTGCTTGTCTCTCTGAGCTGTTCGGTGCCATCCTCGTTGCTGCGGCGACATCTCCACCCGCCGCTGCCATGACTGAACAGATGACCCTTCTTGGTACCCTCAAGGGCCACAACGGATGGGTAACCCAGATCGCTACTACTCCGCAGTTCCCGGACATGATACTGTCCGCCTCTCGAGGTACATGCTAAGGTGTTGGGCGAGACTTGATGATGGGGGTAGGGGTGTTGCGCTTGTCGTGGGACTGGGCGGGTGGCGCGCGAATTTGCAGGCCGAGCAAGCTCTGTCACCGACTGTGAGTTGGTGAGTACAAACCCGATCCTAGGCCTCAACCTCCATTTATAAATTGTTTTAAGTAGCAACTAAAATGGCATAAGATTAAAAGAATCTTGAAAACCAGATGTTCATTAGGGTCCCAGAATTACCATTAAAACTGAGGATATATGTTATGATTTTATTTTTATTAGATTGTAATAGTTATACATAGAAGTTGAATGCATAGTAGTGTATATAGTCATTGTTATACTTAGTAGTTTTGTCGGGTTTATCCCAACAAAATTATACACGCATGGAATTTGATTTCAGTTCAAGATTCAATTCCTTTCCTGACCCTCTCTCCGTCTGTCCTTCCTGTCCTCCATTGTTCTCTTTCCTCTACTCTGATAGACATATGCTCCTTTCTCTATTTATTTAGTTTTGATTGGTTCTTTTTACTTAAACAGAAAGATGACATTTTTTTGTGGTATATTTATATATGTACATGACATAGTTTTTGAAGAGTTCATTATTTGTTGACTCTCCTTTCTTATCCTTCTACTTGGCTCCTCAATCTTCTACTACACTACTGATCTTCCCTGTATCTTTTTGATATCCTATCCTTCCTTCCTCCTTTTCTTCATTTTACCCTAGCTTCCACATATTAGAGAATACATTCAACCCTTGAGTTTCTGAGTTTGCCTTTTTTCACCTAACATGATATTTTCCATTTCCACCAATTAACTAGCAAATTCCATAATTTAATTATTCTTTATGGGTGAGTAGAATGACATACAGCAATTTCTTAATCTTTTCATCCATCAGTGGGCATCTGGGTTGATTTTATAACATAGTCATTAAGAATTGGACTACTATAAACTTGAAGTAGCTATATCAGTATAGTATGCTGATTTTAGTTCTTTTACAAAAACAACCAGGAGTGAAATATCTTGGTTCTATTGTGGTTTGATCCCTAGAATTTTTTAGGAATATTCAAACTGCTTTGCAGAGTGAACATACTAGTATTCATTGTTTCCAAGGATGTACAAATGTTCCTTTATCCACACAACCTTGCCAGCATTTATTGTTGTTTGTATACTTGCTCATTACCATTCCAATTGGAGTGATATTAGCCCTTATTGTAGCATTTCTCTGATTGCTAGAGATGTTGAACATTTGTTTATATGTTTGTTGTTCATTCATTTTCTTCTTTTGAAAAATGTCTCCTCAGTTCTTTTGCCCATTTATTGGAATAGGTTGTTTTGGGGGTATATTGTTGTCTGTGTTATATATTCTGGATATTAACCCCCTATCAGTTGAGTAGCTGACAGACTTTCACTGATTCCCAGGGAGAATATATTTTTGATTTCATCTTTATAACATGGAAGGTAAATATTTTTTATCTAATAATAGCAGAAAACAAGATTCAATTCCTTTCCTTTAAGAAAAAAGCAGTATAGTCTACTCAAAGTCTATTCTTTCAATTCAGAGCCCACTTCTTTTGTGAACAATTTGGAGCACAAGTGCCTGATATTGGTATGTAGGATTCTGACACCATAAATGGAATAGAATCAAGAGGACTTGAGTAACATGAAGAAAACTTCCATGTTATTGGAAAGTGTATACCTGCAACTTTAGTTCTTCACATGTAAATGTTTGCTATGAAAAATCAATGTCAAAGAAGTGTTAAGCAATAGTAAAGATATTTCTGTAGTACTAGATATATAATGCACAGTCTTGTAAAAATTCTCTAACAGTGAATCAAGGAACCTTTCTGATAAGGGTTGGTATTTCTGGAAAAGTATGTATTCTTTGGTATGTAGATTAATAAACCCTGATATAGAGTTAAAAATTTGGCTTATTAAATAAAATATTTAAATCCTTTACTAATTGTTTTAGGGTACAGGGCTATTGAGAAAAGAGGTCTCTGTCTTCAAGAAATGACTAGAGTTTATGTGGCCACTCTAAGTAGAGGAGAGACATTGCAAAGTTAAGGGTCAGAAAATATGAAAGTGGAATGAGATGAGAAGGAAGAGGTTACTCTTAATTTACATTATTTGTTATATTCTTATGTTCAGATAGCACTTTGTAAGAGGTTCAGTTCAGTTGAATAATTTTGTAAACTTTTTGTTGTTTTCCAGAGGGGCTATACACCACTTTTACTTGCCATAGAGCAAAACAGACAGCAGATGGTTGAAACATTAATTCAGAACAAAGCAAATATACATGCAGTTGACCAGAAGGGAAGGTATAGTACTTTGTATATATATATATTATTTATATAGTAACAATCACTCAAGGAAAAATGACTAGTTTAATGGGAAGGTCAATATTAACATATTTAGAAAAGAGTGATATAAAAAAACAAACCACAATTAAGGTAAAAAATCAATTATTTCGAGTGAGAAATACAAATAAGTATATTAATATGATTCAAAATTATTGGCAGATATTTGTTATTGGTTTATTGGTCACATGATTTTGTATTAACTAAAGACTTTTACTATTACTATTAGTTTTGTAAAATATGGAGTTTTAGTTTACATTTTGGTTTATATTTTTAACTTCTGTGTCTGATTTATTTTTCTTTTGGAAAAGATGTATTGATCATAAATAGGCATTGGAAATTATTTTTTTATTTGGTTGACTGTTCTAAATTACTTTCCTTGTAGAATATTGATGTTAGTTTATTCCTAAGTGTTTATTAATTGCTACTGCCAAATGCTGTTCATTTTTAACATATTTTGGTGCTTTTGCTTTTAATTGGAAGGAACAGAGGGAAGAAAGTAGCTTTAAAGGAATAAATATTTTCTTTAATAAAGATAAGACATAGGCAGGTTTTAAAGAGAAAAAAAAGCCTTAGATTCTCACCCAATTGGATTTTATTCCTAGCTTTTGTAGTACATCACCTTAAAAACAATACTTATGACTAAATATATTTCTTGATATGAAAAATAGGATAATACATGCTTGAAGGATGATTGTGAAATTGTACATATTGCATTGCATTCAATGTTTAGCAAATACTTATCAGTACCATTAATTGAAATAATGACTATTATTTTTATTATTATTAGTGTGCAAATAGCCTTTTCTGCTTGACCTTTAGCTGACTGTGAGTTACAGTACATTGTGTCACACTAGGAAGGAAATGGAGCTTTCTTCATTGAAAGGTTTACCAATTTCAGATAAATGACCTCATCATAGTTACTATCCATTGAAGGATTTTAAGTTTGTTAACATCTCCCTCATTGGGAAAAGAGATTTTCTTTTTTTTCCCTTTTAGACTTTGAGATGATTTGCAAAAGAGAATATTTGTTCTCTTAGATGTGTTAATATCTGTAAAATAAGATGTCGAATTGGGAAAATATTATAAATTATCTCTTTGAATTTTCTTTATTAAAATACTTAAAGTTGAAGTTATCTCTCTTATTATAGAACAGCCCTCATGTTTGCTTTGGAACAAAAATCAAAACACATAGTTGAGATGCTTCTTCAGAGTGGTATTGATGTCTCTGCTGCAGATAACTTTGGGCAGATGGCATTAGCTTATGCTATTGCTAGTGGTGATACTAGGTAAGTATTTACATTAAAATACTAGTCAATATTGATTGGAGGCTGAAAATAATTAAAACTATTGCATTTTACACATGAGGTGAGATTTTATAGTACAGCTATATGTGGAACGGAACCCTGCAACAGTCTAGACGAAAATAGTGATGAATGTGGGCTGGGGATGTGGCTCAAGCGTTAGCGCGCTCCTCTGGCATGCGTGCGGCCCAGGTTCGATCCTCAGCACCACAAACAAAGATGTTGTGTCCGCCAAAAGCTAAAAAATAAATATTAAAAAATTCTCTCTCTCTCTCCTCTCTCCTCTCTCACTCTCTCTTAAAAAAAAAATAGTGATGAATGTAAAAGTCTTCTCAGAGGTTCCTTTCTTCCCCTTTCTATTTTTTTTTTCCCTTATACATGCTACTAAGTTGCTCTACCACTGAGATACATCACTAGTCAGCATCTTAGGATTCTTTAAAAAAAACTTTGTCATTATGATTTCCAGTCTTATCTCTTTCATTCCAAGTATAACTCCTCACTGTGGAGTAGAAATAGTGTCACACTTTGATTTTTATAATTAGCTATTTAGGTCTTAAAATGCCAAATTGAGCAGAAAATATTTTTACTCTCCTTAGCTTTTCTATCACCCTTCTTTAATTTCCCAAGTACCTGAGAATTTCCTTAAAGTCTAAAGAGCAGGTGGAAGGACTTTTAAAATGTTAATTTTTCTGTCAATTCTGTTGCTCTGGTGTTGCTGTTAGAACTGGATCTTCACTCTGGTGATGATTAACTTTTACTACAAAATGTCCTGATTGATCCCAATCCCTGAGTATTCATGGTAATGCACACTTAGATTTAAAAGTTACAATGCTATTTTTAGTTCATATATACATATGCTTGTTCAGCTATTATTCCCAAACAGCAGAATTCTGTTTTGGCAACTTGGCCTCCTAGCTTTAGCCACACACATTAAGAACTCTGGCCCTGTCCCACAACTCAATCCTTTATGTGGAACAACCCCCATGTTAGCCTAGACCTTCCTGGTGCATTATCCTTTGAGGACTTTGTCTTTTCTTGCATAAACTAATCATCCAGAACTATCAGATAGCTTCAAATAATATCACTGAAGAGATGAGAATTTCCAATCATCTTTCCTAAAAGATCTGTTCCTCAAAACCTCTCATCCCTTGAAGTATATTTTCTTTTACTTCAGGAGTCCCAATATTAATGTTTCCCAGGTTGGATGTTTCTAGTGATTTGCTTTCCAAAGTAAGAAAATTTCTCAAGCTATTGCAATCAGTCTAAAGTTTTCAGCATATATCAAGTTCTCCCTTACAAGGAAGAGATAAGTTCTCTGAGCTTAAAGTAGATTCATTGAATCTAAGAGCGCTAAGCCCCATTATGACTTATTAGTATCCATGTGTAAAGAGGATTTGGTTTTCCAAGTTAGTTAGAGGTCGACATGGAGATTTAGCTTCCTCTAAAAATTATCCGTTGATTCTTTTCAACTAGGTGGAGAAGAATTAGTAGCAGTCCAAACCAATTCTTGGCATTGGTTAATTTCCCATTTTTGGTATTATTGATTAGTTCCACAATAGGGGATGAATATATTCTCTAAAGAGATATCATACTTATAAATAAATTCTTATAAATTATTTAATGTCTAATTTGCCCTGAGACATAAAGCACAAAAAAGACTACAATCAATAATGAAAATTAGAACTCAAAAGCATTTTTCAGTAATTTCAACACTTGAATATTAGAACCTGTGAAGAATACACATTGATTTATTTGGGATTCCAATTATAGTTGAATAAAAAGATCAAATTATGCCATTATATTTCTATTTCTTTTGACATGTTTTAATATTACCTCATTGAGTCTTCCTAACAACTTTGTAAACTAAAGTGGTACAACCCTTATTTTTTAGAAGAAGCCCTTAATTTTAAGAGAAATTAATTGTGCAAGAAGAAAGAGCTATTATTTACATGACATTTTCTGAGTTCTAGCTATATCAGTTAATATACTCACCTATATTGTTCTCGATTCATGATCATTTTATCTTACTTTGTTTTCTTAATATAAGCTTATGGGTGCAATGGCATGTGTATTTACCACAGCTACTTGGGGGAGAGAATGAGGCAGGAGAATTGCTTGAACCAAGGAATTCCAGACTAGCCTGTGCATCATTGTGAAATCCCATCTCAAAAACAAAAGAAAACCAAACAATTTACAAATAATTGTCAAGTTAATAAAATGTCTGGGCTTACAGATTTGAAGTGCATATTATAAAGTTCTGATATAAGATCTAATATTGTTTAAAATACTATTATATATTGAATGTTTGGTTACTGTTTTTATATCAATATTAAAATGCTAATTTGATTAATTTTTTATCTATAGCCTCAAGAAATTAATTCTTCAATATATGAAAGTAGAATCTAAACATCCTGAAAACATCAACCCAGGTAAGACTTCTGAAAGTGAATTGATTATGGTATTCATGGCTTATGTAAGAAAAGTAAGAGTATGGCAGGTGCAGTGTTGGCAAACCTGTAATTGGGTGGCTCAGGAGGATGAGGCAAGAGGGCTGCAAGTTCAGAGTCAACCTCAGCAATTGAGCAAGGCCCTTAGCAACTTAGCAAGACACTTTCTCAAAAATTACAAAAGGACTGTGATGTCTCTCAGTGGTTGAGCTCTCCTGGGCTCAATTCCTGGTACCAAAGTAAGTAAATAAATAGGAGTAAGAAAGTTTGGATTGCAAAGGAGCAGTGGAAAAATTAATTTTTTTCTTAATAATCTAGAATTCATGATTATTTAAGCCATTAATTGTAGGAAATTTATAATCTGAAATGATATTGTCTGAAGAAATTTTAGGCTAACTGAATCTTGGCCCCTGAAATCTTATATTTATGTACATAAATAAGTAAAAAAATTCAAATTAGTATGTTGTCTTTCCTATATAATGACATTGTAGCAAAGTGGACTTGTAATAAAAACAGATGTTCTATTTTTACTATAGATATCAACTCTTACTGGGTATACAAATTCGTGGATTTTACAGTGATATTTCCATACATATGTAAATAGTACTTGAATCCCAACCACTTTCCCTACTTCCATTTCTATCTGTCCCTTCATTTCTTCAACCCTTATTACCTTCCCTCTTCCCTAATAACCCCTTTTCCATTTCCTTGTCATTCTTAATTTGTTTTCAAATTGCACGTGTTATAGAGAATGTGATATTTGATTTATGTTTCTGACTTATTCTGCTTAACATAATAGCCACCCTTTCCATCCATCTTAAGTTTTTGTCTTTGTTTCTTTCTTTTCTCTTAAGGGCTTGAAATATAGCATTTCATGTTTCCTGGCCTTCAAAGTTTCTGTTGATAACTCTTATGTTTTTCTTATGAGTTTATTCTATAAGTGCTTTGGTCTTTTTTACTTCTTTAATATACTTTTGGCAGTTTTTATAAATGAACATGGAGAAGTTCTATTCTGGTCATGTCCATTTGGTGTTCTAAATGCTTCCTGTATCTGGACACCCTTAACATTCAAAAAATTTAAGAAATTTTCTGCTATTTTTTTCTCCAAATAAATTGCATTGCCTATAAGCCTGTACTAATACACCATTGTCTATGTTCATAATTCATGAGTTTAGTCTATAAATCAGGAACCAAGGACTTTGTATATTCTGTTTCTTCTTCTTTTTGTTGTCATAACTAACTAAACGTGACATTCATCATTGCCTTCCAACTCTGATATTTTTCTTCTGCTTAATCTAGTCTATGATTGAAAGTTAGATTTATTTTTTTTAAAATTTGAAATATTAAGCTATTTATTTCCAAGATTGCTGTTTGAATTCTTTTCAGAAGCTCTATTTTTGCACTCTTCTCTAATGCCTTATAAGGTTTTTATTACTTTATTCATCTTCTATTTGTATCATCTTTGAATTCATACATTATGTTTAATATCTTTTTTAATCCTTTTTTCTGGCGTTTTGTCTACTGCAGTGTCATTGGAATCAGTTGCTAGAGAGTTATGAACTTTTGGAGGATCCATGTTACCTTATTTGTTCATCTTTCTTATATTTGTGCTAAATTTTGTGCATCTGTGGGGGTATATGTTTCTTCCACATTTATGTGAGAGTCTTCTTAGGAAATAACCTTCTCTTGATGATGTATCCTGGGCTATTGGTTTATTTTGTCGAGATTATTTCCAAAGTATAGACTTTGTATTATAGACTTTTATATTTTACCTAACTGTGATTCATGGGTTTTGTCACAGTTTGTACTATCATAGCCTGAAGGACCAACTCTCTTTGTCAATCTTGTGAGAATGGAGTCACATGATGTAGGCAGTGGATTATGTGGGCTGCATTTTTTGTGGTCATTACTGTAGCCTTGTCAATAATTTTCTGTCTGCAAAGGCAAGGGAGAGACCTAGTGCCGCAGTCCAGCTGGGCAAAGTAACCAAGAGGTGACAAGCAACTGAAGGTTGAAGCAGTAACTGAAGGTAACTGCTTTATTGCGGAACAGCAGAGGTGTATATATCTAACTGATTTACATAAAGCATGACTCAATCAGCATCATCCAATCATAGCATTGCTCCTCTACAGATACAGCAATCAGCCAATAAGGAGTCCCCACCATCTTGATGAGTCGGCGGCATTGCCTCACAAGCCACTCTTCCTGGCAAACTGCCAGGCACCATCTTGACTTGGTCGCAGCCTCCAACAGACTAGGCTGAGGTGCTGCTTGGTGCAGACTTCATACCTGCACAACTCTGTAAACAGGGTTGTTTCACCTCTCTCTGCTCATGCTATGAGGGTGGCTGCCAGACACTGGATTATAGTACATTCGATCCATACCAACATGGGTACATGTCAGCTGGGGACTTTTATTTACCCTGTTATTTTACTTGAAGTACCTGCCAAGTTATAAGTGGGAATGTATGTCTTTGGTGGAAAGTAAGATGCATTGTTTCTTACCTTTGCTGTGGGTTTTTAGAAGTTGCAAAGTACCTGCCAATGTGTTCAAGGAATGGGGCTGGATCCCCATTGCAGATGGAAGAAGACAAACAACAATAATACAGCATGAAGGCAAACTAGATATAGGTATACAGAAACAATCAACAAGAAAAAAAAGAAAACACCAGTAACAACAGAGAAGAAAGGGATAAAATATTTAGGATCCACTAAATTGTTAAAGGTTCATAAAAGTAAAATTAATTTTAAAAAAAGGAAGAATGAGAAATTGGAAGAAACTTTTAAAAATTCTATTAAATTATGACAATAAGATAAAAGTAATGAAACAAAATGACTAAGAAAGAAACACAAAGCAAAATCTAGTCAAGAATTTGTTCTACATGAGTTGTATGTGCACACACTGTCCTAGTCTGTGCCCAGGGCAATGGTCAATGCCTGCATAGCAGCAAGCCCTTCATACCTGCAGAGCTTTGGCATTAAGAGGTTTGTGTCAGAAAGTCATATATTCTGCCTGTAGAACTATAGTCTGTGTGGGCTGGGAATGTGGCTCAAGCGGTAGCGTGCTGGCCTGGCAAGCGTATGGCCCGGGTTCGATCCTCAGCACCACATACAAACAAAGATGTTGTGTCCGCCAAAATCTAAAAAAAAAAAAAAAAAATTAAAATTCACTCTCTCTCTCTCTCTCTCTCTCTCTCTCTCTCTCTCTCTCTCTCTCTCTCAAAACAAACAAAAAAAAGAACTATTGTCTCTGTGCCCAGGGATATGGCAAATGTCTGAACTCCAGTATCTACCCAAAATGTGAATTGAGATTTTTCCAAAGAGCAAATGTATTTTCTAATATTTTTTTCTATAAGTTGAATGTATTTAGTAAATAAAAATTATTTGTGTAACTAAAAATGAGTTGTCTCATTAAAATGAGGTGAAATACTCTGTGGCATTTTTAAACTATTTTTTTGCGTAAATATGTAATTAAATTATTCAATTTCTTCAACTTATGAGAATAGCCATATTCTATTGCTTTGATCTTTATCACTAATTTGGAGGTGACTATCTTGCCATAATCTATATTAACTGTTAATGGTTAGCTCAGTGAGTATCTTTATTTTTTGATTTAGTAACTTTTTGTGTGTACAGTACTGTAATCAAATCTAGGGCATTATGCATCCAGGTAAGTTCTCTACCACTGAGGTATATCCTTGGTCCCTAATACATAGTTTTAAATTCACAGAAAAGTACGGAAGGTACAGAGATATTTTCTTCTGTACTTCCTTTACTTTCATAGTCCTCCTCCATTATCAATGTCCACTACTAGGGGCATACTCTTGCTACCAATGATGAGCCTATATTTATACATTATTATCACTCACACATTTAATTTATATTAGGATTCTTTCTTGGTGCTATACAACCTGTGGCTTTTAGAAAAATGGATAATAGCATCTATTCATAGTTGTAGCTTCAGAAACAAAATGTTTTATTGTCCTTATCTTCCTAATCACCTCAACACACACGTAACCCCTTCCAACCACTTATCTCTATTATATCTGGAATATTTTTTTTCCAGAGTAACCTTATATTTGGAAAAGTATAGTATATTTAAAATATGAAAGTTCCAATGAAATTAAATCTAATCATTTAGAAAATACTTTTTATTTTTTCTTTCTTTTGTGGTGCTAGTGATTGAATACATTACATCATGTAATATAGGCACATTGTGTATGAATGGGCTACATTTATAGCCCTTGTTTTCCAATTTTTGTTCACTGGTATAGACATGAGGGCATATGGATTACATGCAGAAAAAGCAGGAAGTCTATAAAGATTTGCCACATAATGAAAAGGATTGGAAAAAAAAAATTGGATCATGCTGTACAAAACAGTGCTAACTGTAATATCCTACTCTACTGGGACCAGATAAAATCTTCTCAGTGGAATCTGACAATCTCAAGAAGTCATAGTTTATACAATGGTCATCAAAATGTATTTTACAGCCTTGCCATAGGAAAACTTTCTAGAAAGAAAGTAGTAAATATGAATTAAAATTATCTCCTCTTCAGTTGTCAGAATGAATCTTTGATGGTTTGGATGTGAGGTGTCCCCAAAAAGCTCAAGTGTGATATAATGCAAGAATGTTTAGAGGGGAAATGATTGGGCTCTGAGAGTCTTAACCCAGTCAGTGAATTAATCCCCTGATGGGATTAACTGGGTGGTAACTGAAGGCAGGTAAAGTGCGGCTAAGGATGTGCATCATTGGAGGTTTGCCTTTGATATTTTGTATCTGGTGAGTAGAGTCTCTCTCTGCTTTCTGTTCAAAAGTGAGCTGCTTCCCTATGCCTTACTCTTCCACCATGATATTCAGCCTCATCCTCGAGTCCCATGGAATGGAGTTGGCAGTCTAAAAACTGAGACCTCTGAAACCTTCAAATAAACTCTTTCCCCACTATAATTGTTCTGGTCAGGTCCTGTAGTCACAGCAATAAAAAAATCTGACTAATACAGAATCTCAATGAAATTTGCTATGTACATTTATGACTGCCCCATAATGAATCTCATCAACATGTATGTCCCCAAGGTAGTAATTTTTTTTTTTTAAAAAAAGGATATAAATAAACAGTTCACTACAGTAGATGAAAGGAAACAAAGCAAGGGGGGGGGGGTGAAAAAAAGGGTATCTACTGGGGGACTGAATTTAAAAGAAAAAAATGAAGCTTTAGAATTTGATCAAAATGAATCCTTATGTTTAAATTAAAAGATCCAATAAAAAACAAAGATAAAAGAATTACATTGCCACATGCTTGAGGTAGTATATTGAGTAAAATAATTCCATAAAGTGCTTTAAATTTAGCAAATCCAACACTGTCTGAAATATGTCCCCTTCTTTGTATAAGCCCCTTCGGCTTTATTCATACTATATGCTTTACATTTTTGCCATTACACATTAATGACATTCTTCAAATAATCTAAAAACTCATTCTAATATTTTCAGAGAACAGTATAAAATCAGACTATTTAATTTTAACAGAACTGACATTCTTTTTTTTTCTTTTTTCTTTTTATTTCTTTTTTTTTAATGGTTGTTCAAAACATTACAAAGCTCTTGACATATCATATTTCATACATTAGATTCAAGTGGGTTATGAACTCCCATTTTTACCCCAAATACAGATTGCAGAATCACATCGGGTACACATTCACAATTTTACATAATGCCCTATTAGTAACTGTTGTATTCTGCTACCTTTCCTATCCTCTACTATCCCCCCTCCCTTCCCCTCCCATCTTCTCTCTCTACCCCATCTACTGTAATTCATTTCTCTCCTTGTTTATTTTCCCATTCCCCTCACAACCTCTTATATGTAATTTTGTATAGCATTGAGGGTCTCCCTCCATTTCTATGCAGTTTCCCTTTTCTCTCCCTTTCCCTCCCACCTCAACAAATGGGACTTACTTAAACTAAAAAGTTTTTTCTCAGCAAGAGAAACAATAAGAGAGGTAAATAGGGAGCCTACATCATGGGAACAAATTTTCACTCCTCACACTTCAGATAGAGCCCTAATATCCAGAGTATACAAAGAATTCAAAAAATTAGACAATAAGATAACAAATAACCCAATCAACAAATGGGCCAAGGACCTGAACAGACACTTCTCAGAGGAGGACATACAATCAATCATCAAGTACATGAAAAAAATGCTCACCATCTCTAGCAGTCAGAGAAATGCAAATCAAAACCACCCTAGGATACCATCTCACTCCAGTAAGATTGGCAGCCATTATGAAGTCAAACAACAAGTGCTGGCGAGGATGTGGGGAAAAGGGTACTCTTATACATTGCTGGTGGGACTGCAAATTGGTGCGGCCAATTTGGAAAGCAGTATGGAGATTCCTGGGAAAGCTGGGAATGGAACCACCATTTGACCCAGCTATTGCGCTTCTCGGACTATTCCCTAAAGACCTTAAAAGAGCATACTACAGGGATACTGCCACATCGATCGATGTTCATAGCAGCACAATTCACAATAGCTAGACTGTGGAACCAACCCAGATGCCCTTCAATAGATGAATGGATAAAAAAAAAAAGTGGCATTTATACACAATGGAGTACTACATAGCACTAAAAAATGACAAAATCATGGAATTTGCAGGGAAATGGATGGCACTAGAGCAGATTGTGCTAAGTGAAGCTAGCCAATCCCTAAAAAACAAATGCCAAATGTCTTCTTTGATGTAAGGAGAGTAACTAAGAACAGAGTAGGGATGAAGAGCATGCGAAAAAGATTAACATTAAACAGGGATGAGAGGTGGGAGGGAAAGGGAGAGGGAAGGGAAATTGCATGGAAATGGAAGGAGACCCTCAGGGTTATACAAAATTACATGTAAGAGGAAGTGATAGGAAAGAGAAAAAAATACAAGGGGGAGAAGTGAATTACAGTAGAGGGGGTAGAGAGAGAAGAGGGGAGGGGGGATAGTAGAGGATAGGAAAGGCAGCAGAATACAACAGACCCTAGTATGGCAATATGTAAATCAATGGATGTGTAACTGAAGTGATTCTGCAATTTGTATACGGGGTAAAAATGGGAGTTCATAACCCACTTGAATCAAAGTGTGAAATATGATATATCAAGAACTATGTAATGTTTTGAACAACCAACAGTAAAAAATTTTTAAAAAATAATAAAAAAAAGAAAGGCGGGAAATGTGACGATTCCCTCTGGTCCAGGATGGGAGTGTGTCGTTGGGGACCAGCAACCATTAGTCTTCATCAATGAATATTTAGGTTTTTTCCATTTTTTGCTACTGTTAACACCATGATAAGTTTTCTTGTATGTGCAATTTTGTGTACTGTTCATTATAGTACAAATACAATCATTGGTAAGTTAAGAATATAAACATTCCCAGGCTTTGTAATACGTATTATCAAATCTGTCAGATCGTTCTAATTAACACTCCCACTAATGGCCTTAATCCCTTTACACATCTTTTGTAGTGGTTAACACAAGGCCAGTGTGTTAGTCAGCTTTCCATTGATATTACAAAATACCAAGGTAATAAGCTTGTAAGGAGGAAATGTTTATTTAGGCTCATGGTTTCAGAGGTTCAGCCCATGGTTACTTAAGCCTGTCATTTTGGGCTTGTGGTAGAACATTACTTCATGACCAGAAGTGCATAGCAGAGGAAGCTGCTCACATCATGTCTGCTGGAACATAGAGAGACAAGAAGGGGCCAAGGTCCCAAATCCCCTACAAGAGCTCACCCTATTGGCTTAACTTCCTTTCACTAGGCCACAGCTCTTAAATTTTCCACCATCTCCCAATTGCATCTTGGGCTGGGAACCAAGCCTTTAACACCTGGGCCTTTGAGGGTCGCTCAAGATCCCAAGATATAGCAGCTACATTCATAATTCTTTCTGTTGGGTGGGTTTTTATCACTAGATGAATATTCATTAAGTGAAAGACCTGGCATCTTGAGAACCTTAAATAGTATCAACAGGATTTCATGATAGCCTGTCCTCCTCTATTTCCTCCATCTACATGAATGTGAGGGCTGGTCCTGGGTGAGCTGGAGTAGCTTGTTCTTACAGGTATGTGACGTTCAAGGATGTGGCTATGCTCTTTACTCGGGATGAGTGGAAAAAGCTGGATCCTTCCCAGAGAAGCTTGTATCGGGAGGTGATGCTGGAGAACTATAGTAACCTGGCCTCACTGGGTAAGGAAATCCCCTCTGGACACAGTTCAGAAATTAGACTTCAGCACCTGCTTCCCTGAATAAAAGCTGTTGGCCATCAAAAAAGTTGAGGTTTGCCTTATGATTATACAAATAATATCTTTGTAAATAAATATTGAGAACATGTTCTCCTTACAGGCATGGAATTACCCTGTGTATAGGAATGGAGGAGGTGGTCTTGGTAACCATCACCTTCCTTCTATGTTTTTTAAATTTTAATTATTTTCTATTAGGAGGACTCCCATTTATCAAACCAAAGGTGATCTCCCTGTTACAGGAGGGAGAAGGTCCCTGGAAGGTAGAGAAAGAAAATTCTGGAAGCACCTCTCTTGGTGAGTGGGTGGCACTATTTATGTTTAAAGAATATTATGTGTTTGTGAAATATGCAAATAAGCACAGAGAGGAATTGCTGCAGGTATCAGTCTGGTTCAGAAGAAGGTGCAGCTTGGAGTGTATTAGTTGGGAAACTTCCTTTAGGGTTCTCAGGCCTCAAGAAGTTGATGAGGAAGGGAAAGCCCAGGTTCCTAGACACCTGCTTCTGCTTTTTTGTGCATAATCACTTCACAAAATGAATCTCTCTAGAGCTCTTTTTATTCTTTCCTGTTATTTCTGAAAAGGGCTGCATTTTATGTATTCATTCAACAAGCAGTGTAATTTAAGGGAATATAAATAATTCATTCTAGCTGAAGCTGCAGGTATGAAAGAGATAAGGAAGACAATGAGATGGGAGGCTGTCTAAGGGCCACACTGTAAGTGCTTTGGTACAGTTCTAAGAGATTTGAACTGTTCCATGGATGACCAGAAATATTTGAGGAATTTAAGCAGAAGAACTTTTTTATCCCTGATATTTTAGAAAAATTGGTCTGAATCAGAAACAAATGTTCCTTAATAAAGGAATGGCTAAAGAAAAAATGATGTGTCCCTACTCTGGCAAACGTTGTCACAGTTTAGAAAGAAAGAACACCCTAATGTGGATGGAGCTGCAAGGCACATCAAGTTATAAAATATCACCATATGTTAATATTTATATTTAAAGAATATTAAGTGTTTGTGAAATATGCAAATAAGCACTGAGAGGAAGGTTCAGAAAACACACAAAAATTACAAGGACACACCTAAACTGGAATGAATCTAATAAAAGGGGACTTTGTTTCCATGTAATGTTTTAATTTTCACAAAGAGAATATGTTCTCGAAGGTATCTTGACTGGAAGTTAATAAGAATGGTCACTTAGGAGGCATTATTGAAGTGAGGCAAAACTAGAGGTTGGAAGCCTCACAGAATTCATGGGAATCCAGGCAGGAAGCCAGTGGGCCTGGACTGGAGGCACCTGCTGTGAGGATCAGGGAGTGGAGGAGGAGTCAGCTTGATAAGGGAGTCTGAGGAATTCAGTGTGGAATGGTTTTTATTTAAGATGTAACATACATGGGTAGAGGTTACAGATGGGCAGTTATGTAAGGGAGACAGACTGGTTGGCACTCCAAGTAGAGGGCAGGAACCCTCAGTTCAAAGGGGTAATTACCACCTTGAGTTGACCAGGTAAAGGAACAGAGCAGAAAACAGAATCCTAGGAAACAAACATTTGAGAGATGGTTAAGCGAGAAAGGACTTTGTGACCAAATCTGAGGTTAAATTATCAGAGGAGAGAAACAGAAGAGGTGGCTGTCATCCAAGAAAGGCTGGGGATTTGAGCTTGTGGAGGCATAGGAAGTGGTCCCAGGGAAGGTCTGGAGAAAGGTCAGTTCAAGCAAGAAAAGTAGAAGAAACTGCAGAAGACAGCAGTGGAAACAGATCCTGCTGAGCCCCGGCCCTGTAACAGGATTTGGTCTGAGAATTGGAGAGCCTGGGAAGGGCTGAAGAGTTGTGAGTTTCCTGGAGCTGCACAGGTTCACCCTCCACAAAAGCAGCTTCCAACTGACTTAGGGAGCCTGAGAACATAGAGAGGAGACACATAGGAGGCTATGTCAGAGACAGCCTCCCATGTCCCAGCCTAGGGAAGAGCATGGGACAGACTGCCTTGGTACAACAGTGCCTATGCTGGGGGAGTTCTCTTCTCAGTTAAGGTGACAATTTTTGAGATGAAAACCCCAGTTGTCTATCTTTTAACCCTCATTTTGGAGAAATTAATTCTTTGGAAATTGCCAGAAACCACCCCAACATAAAAAGAGAGCAGGGAAACTTTAGAGTTAGGAGGCATTAGTCTGGCTATTATATGAGACCTGACTCTGGTTTGAAAGATCAGAGTCCTCTGAACAGCCCTTCCCAAAAGGAGCTCACTCCCCAAGAGCACAGTTGAAGGACCTGGATGTTCTTAGAAGTACCTACTGTTATAATTAACTTTCAGCCAGAACCAAAATCCTAACCCTTGAAAAACCAGTTACAGAAAAGCTCATGCTCTGAGACCAGGATTCTCTAGAACCTCCAGTAGCCTCAGAATGCACTTTTACAAAGTTACTTTTCAATTCAGAACTGTTAATAAATAGGAACACCCCCCCCCCCCAAAAAAAAAAAAAAAAAAACTTATGAGAAAACAACTGTGTCATCCCTGGCTTTCTAAGTTTAAGTTAAAAGACAGGAGGATATGGCTCAAAGGGTCTGAATCTCTGATTTGGGTCTCTTGCTTAGAATATGAACCAAAAGCATAATCTTTTGAGGTTGTGCTTTTCTAGAATAGTTGTACTAAGAATAATGGAGTTAAACTTGTTTGTAAAGCTCATAACTTTGGTTCCTACCCAAATGTAAAAATATTAGATTCCATGCAGTGAAAGATAATATTTTCTTCCCATTGTTTCCTCTTCTTTTGTCCTCTAAAAGCAAGAAGCCATCTAAGATGGACTGAAATACAGGGTGGTCACCTCAAGTGTTACCTGCTATGCTCTAGTGAGGTTTGCCTGGGCAGCATCTGCCTGAAGGAAAAGCGTCTTTTCCTGATTTGCACAAGCTGCTAAACAGATTAGCAGCAGCCCTACCAAAGTGGTATGCAATGGTTTTGAAAAGCAACTTCTTATACAGTTTCAGTGGAGTCACAGTGCTCTGCAGACCTGTTTAATATGTATGAATTAGTGCTGTTGCTGTCCCCCTGCCCTCCAACAAAGACCCATACATGGGCCCTGTACCTCCCCCCTGCTGCCATCAACTTATCTTTCCTTTGTAGCTATCAAAGGGATCTTTTTAAAAAGTAAATTATGTCATATTTCTGCATGCTCAAAACCTTTAGAGGCTTCCATCCCATGGAGTCCAATCAAGAATCTTTATTGTGGCCTTTAGAGACCTATAATGGTCTAGCCTCTTGACCTTCATCTACTTCTTCTCTTCCCTTTATGCAAGAACTCTAATCACCCTGGCTCTCACCTCTGGGATTTTGCACTTACTTTTCCTGTATGATAACCATTCTTTTTCCTGATGACCTCATGCATACATGACTCATTTCCTCATGTCCCACAGGTTTCTTCCCCTCAGCATGCTTATCACTGCATAATAATACATATTTATTTACAATCTGTCTCTTTCTTTGCATTTTTAGCTCCCTTATGCAGAATTGCCTCTTTCATTCATTCCCACTTCCCTATTTTCTAAAATAGTGGCTGGCCAGAGTGGACTTCCAGCTTTATAGTAAATGCAGAAATGACTAAGACTAGGTTAGTTCTGATGGACATAGAAAGAAGCAAACCAATTCCAAAGATATCTGGAAAGTAAAAACAGGACTTAGAGATTGATTTGATAAGGAAAATAAAGGAGATGGAATTGTTAGGGATACTTGCTTAGTTGGTGGCTCATTCTGGAAAGAACAAAATACTATTCACTGGAAGGAGATCAAGTATGGGAGATAGTATGAATTTGGTTTGGAATTAATTATATTCAGTTGTCTTTAGTTGGCCCAGTTATCCAACTGGAGATGTCAGGACTGAGTATGAAATGTAAATTTGCAAGAACCTCATCCATATAGGATAATTAAAACAATGAGTGAGGTTAAGATAGACTAGGGAGAAAGCTTAGGTTACAGTAAGAGGAAGAAAAAGGCTAGGATTGAATATTGAGCCACATTGAAGTCTTATTGATGTTAGGTGGTAGGGGCAGAAACATTTCAGGCAGTCAGGTAGAGAAGCATGAATCCATAGGGAGGTCAAGTATAGATGTACTGAAGGAGTAAATTGGAGAGAGTTTGGTACCATCAAAGGCAAGATGCATAATAGAATGGTAGCAGTAGAAATAAGAAGTGGATGGATTTGGAATATATTATATGGTCAAATAAAAAAGTCTTGGTAGTTGATGAGATGATGGGAACAAGAAGCTGCTTCTTGAGGATTTGCTTGAGAATAGTGCCATTTACAGAATCCAGGGATTAAACAGGTTGGACGAAGTGATCATGAATCTGGTTCTAGGCATATTAACTTTGAGGTGTCATTAAAGCATCTGAGTTGCTGTTTTGAGTAGATAATCTGGAAGTGTGTGTGGCGAATAGAGTATTCTTGCCTAGAGTATAAGTTTGTAATTGAAGCTAGCTAGTGGAAAAAAATAAAGAGAGAAAAGTTGGTCACCAGGAACTAAATCCTAAGGAACTCTGTGAATTAAAAGAGCAGGTAATGAGGTCACTGAAGCTTAGGAAGAGAGTGTCCCAAGGAAAGCAAGGGATTGTTGTCAGGTGTTGCTGGAGGTAAGTTAGGAGAAAATCGAAGAAAGTGTCTTGTCTTAGTGGCATTAGGTGGTAAGAGCAGAAAGCCAGAGTGGATATGATGAAGGGTGAGTGAGAAGAAGCAATGGATGAATAGAATACACTACATATAGGAATATATTTAGATAAAAATACTATGTAATACACCTTATTCTGCCCCTTTCACTTGGTGCATATTAAAACTCTTTCCGGCTCACTACACAGAGAGCTTCCTCACTCTGGGCTGGCTCTATGCCAGCTCTCTTCTCCACTGGGAAAACATCTGGACTTGATTACATGCAGTTTTGGGTAATGATAGCAGGCAGGCCCACTTGAGATTAGGATTTTATAAATGTTATTAGCAATGTGGGAAATTATTTAAAGCTATACCTTTATCAAGTGCCAATGTAAAGTTTTGATGTATTAAAATTAGAGTTAGCCCAAAGGTTCATCAGAGTAATCTAGTTGAGTAAACTTTGGTGTGTACACATAGTGAAATTCTCTGCAGCTGTATAAAGGAAATAAAGATGATCTTTGTAAATTCCACTGTCATCTAAGAAGGGGCTGAGGAAGTACCAAAAAAAAAAAGTAGGTATATTATGTATGTACTTATAACTTTTTTTAAAAAAGATAGAAACAGTAAAAAAAGGATAAAAGCAGATCAATAAAAATGGTTTTATA